TATGGTATAAGCGGTTATGACATATATCTAAACAAAGAATTTAGAGGCTTATGTCGGACGGTATTCTTAGATCCCTTGCTTAGTCGTACTTTCAAGTCTGCATTTAGTGTATCAAGGGAAAGCAGACAAACAAGAGGAATTCCATACTGAAAGAGCTAAGGATGTCTTAGAACTAATTCAAACTGATATATGTGGTCCTTTCCCTACAGGTTCTTGGAATGGACAATAATATTTTATTACGTTCATAGATGATTACTCGAGGTATGGCTACCTGTATTTGATTCATGAGAAATCTCAACCTTTGGACGTGTTCAAGTCATTCAAAGCTGAAGTCAAACTTCAACTTGGAAAGAAAATAAAAGTTATCGAATTCGATCGTGGTGGTGAATACTATGGTAGGTATGACGGATCAGGGGAACAACGTCCAAGACCCTTTGCGCTTTTCCTCTATGAGTGTGGATTTGTTCCACAAGACACAATGTCGAGAAAACCCAACATGAATGGAGTTGCAGAACTATGAAACTGAACTCTTAAGGACATGGTAAGAAGTATGATTAATCACTTTTCTCTTCCAGAATCATTTTAGGGAGAAGCATTAAAGACCGCAGTTTATATTCTTAGTAGAGTACATAGTAAAGTAGTAGCTAAGACCCCTTATGAGCTCTGGACTAGGAAAAATCCCAGCATTAGACAGTTGCACATTTGGGGATGCCCAGCTGAAGTACGGTCTTATAAGCCTCATGAAGGTAAGTTGGATGCAAAGATAATTATTTGTTATTTTATTGGATACGTTGAACGCTCTTACGGACATAAGTTTTACAATCCTATCACTAGAACTATTTCTGAAACGGGAAATACAAGATTCCTTGAGGATGTAGAGTTTGGAGGGGAAGGAAGCATAAAGAGTGTTGTCTTTGATGAAGAAACTGTTTCTCACAATGATCAAGTCTTTGTACCTATCTTTGTTCCAGAAACAGATCCTGAAATAAACAATGATGTTATTCCTAACATCCCTTAAGAACAAGACAATACTGAGTTTCTTCCTCAAGCACCACCTATAGTTCAAACTCGACAACCTCAAGAGCCACCATTAAGAAGATCCACTAGAGAAAGGAAACGTGCAATTTTAGATGATTATGTTGTATTTCTTCAGGAACGTGAGGATGACATTGGTTTGATTGAGGAAGATCTTATCAACTTCAGTCAAGCTATGTGAAGTCCAAATTATTTTAAGTGGGTTAATGCTATGAAGGATGAGATGAAGTCGATGGTTGACAATAATGTTTGGGATCTCGTTAAATTACCTTAAGGAATGAAACCCATTGGTTGTAAATGGATACTTAAAACCAAAAGGGATTCAAATGGTAACATTGAGAGATATAAAGCTCATCTTGTCGCAAAAGGCTTTACTCAAAAGGAAGGAATTGATTATAAATAGACTTTCTCTTAGTTTATTTGAAGGACTCTCTTAGGATCGTGATGACATTGGTAGCTCATTTTGATTTAGAGTTGCATCAGATGGATGTAAAGAATGCATTTTCTAAATGGAAACATTGAAGAGATAATATATATGGTGCAACTAGAAAATTTTGTGTTAGGAGACCCAAAGTCTATGGCTTGCAAACTCAAGAAATTCATCTATGGCCTTAAACAGGCTTCCCGTCAATGGTTTTACAAATTTCATCAAGTAATATCCTCATTTGGTTTTGAGGCTAATCTGGTTGATAACTGTGTATACCAAAAATTCAGTGGGAGTAAATTCATTTTCTTGGTACTATATGTAAATGATATCCTTTTGGAAAACAAATATATAGGCTTATTACACGAAACCAAGAGATTTATCACAAATAAATTTGAGATGAAAGATCTTGGGGACGCCTCATTTGTCTTAGGAATTCAAATACTTAGAGACCGTTCTCGAGGTATTTTAGGATTGTCACAAAGGAGCTATATTGATATAGTTTTGGATAAAATTCTCCATGAAAGATAGTAAACCAGGAGACATACTTGTTGCTAAAGGAGACAAGTTTTGTCTCAAACAGTCCCCCATTACGGATCTTTAAAAGCAAGAGATGCATAAGGTTCCATATGCTTCAGCAGTGGGAAGTCTTATGTATGCTCAAGTTTGCACCCATCCCGACTTAACTTTCATTTTAGAAGTTCTTGGTGGATATCTAAGCAAACCTGATATGCAACTCTGATATGCAGCACTGGATAGCAGTAAAACGTGTAATACGCTATTTGAAGAGAACGAGAGACTTCGTGCTCACTTATCGAAAGTCAGATAACTTGGAGATCGTTGGGTATTCTGACTCAGATTTTGTTGGATGCCCGGATAGCAGACGTTCCACATGTGGTTACATCTTTCTCTTGGCTGGAAGAGCCGTCTCCTGGAAGTCTTCGAAACAGACTTTAGTGGCTCCTTCCACCATGACAACAAATTTTGTGGCTTGTTTTGTGACATCAAATCATGCAATTTGGTTGCGGAACTTTGTCACAAGCCTACACATTGTTGGGAGCATTAAAAGACCCTTGAAGGTTTATTATGACAATAGTGCATTTATGCTATACTCCAACAACAATATGAGTTCTACAAAATTGAAATTTATCGATATAAAGTATCTTGTTGTGAAAGTAAGAGTTTAGGAGAAAAAATTTTGGTTGAACATATAAGGTCAGACTTAATGCTAGTTGATCCACTAACCAAAGGTTTAGCACCTAAGACTTTTTATGGGCATGTTGCTTATATGGGTATTGGTTTTGAGGTTGCCTTAGATTAGTGGGAGTTTTTTCCTTAATTTTTTCTATGTTCTATATTTTGGTTTTATTTTGGTACAAACTTTATGTTATGTTTAATTTTCTGCAGAAATAAAAACTTATGAGGTATTATTTTTATAAAAATATCAAGTTTTTTGTTATGAGCAAATATTGTAACTTTGAATTGCACCTAAGGAACTTCAGTTTGACCTCACTAAAGACTACAGTAGGACTAGTTGGAAATATGCATGATTTAGATATCACATTGCATGAATTTTCATGTCACTCATCCATATGAATCCATGTCATCAACTACGTTGATGTGGTGGTCATCGGGGTTCCATCACATTATATGCTGGTGACGACAGCCGCGGTGGTCCTATTATTGATGTATGAGGTGGACTAGATTGTAAAGTTAAAATCTAAAGAAAAATAGCATTCGGATGCGCGCCTACAGAATTATGATATAATTATTAAGATATATTGGCGAAGTGGGAGATTGTTGGAATATTTTAATAATATAGTAATATATTAATATTCCAATAATTATGTGGTCAAATATATTTATTTATTATATTAGTTATTTTATCAATTAAGTGCCTTTAAATAATTAAGTGATCAAACAATGTTAAAAATGCTATTTAGATTTATTTATGAATTATTTAATTAATTAATTAATTAAATAATCGGGTATGGACTCAAATATGAGTGGATGTAATAATGACCCATTTGAGAATAATGGGAACCCTAATTGGTCATCACACTATATATATAGACTATGGTCCCCAATATACCGTATAACAAGCAAATTATCTCTTCTCCCCATGCCAAGAGAATTCGAGACATAAGGAGTACTGGTTGAGGAAGAACCACAAAACCCAACAAGAGAATTCGAGATATAAGGAGTACCGGTTGAGGAAGAACCACAAAACCCAACAAGAGAATTCGAGACATAAGGAGTACCGGTTGAGGAAGAACCACAAAACCCAACAACTTATGGGTTTAGGATTATTGTCAAATACATTTTTCTCATATTTGATTTTATACATGCTTGATTTCCTCATCCAAATTATATATTATAATTTTTTGAGCATGTATATTTTGATTTATCGTTATTAATCTAATTCCAACACCTATAAGATACTATAGATACTTAGGGTGCTAGTATTTTCCCTTAGTATAACCAACCCTCGTACCTTAGATCTCTTATCTTGTTTAGCCTTTAGTTTTACTTTATGCTTTGCATGTTTATTTTGAGTTTATTAGTTTTTCTCTCTTTCTCTTGGATACCTTATGTTTTGTGAGTCTAGCTAACCAATAGTTATGGTCTCTGATTCTCACCGCGACACATGTGCAGTCACATAAGCAACTTATCTTTTATTAATATGTAGATACTATTTCAGCATTGTGACTTGGAATCACATCAACCAATTTAAAACGATGCCTCTTCTTCATTCTTAATCGTTCTCGCATGTTGTTCTAATACCATCAACTGATTCAACCGTCCATTCTTACTCAGCGTATCCGTAAAAACCATATATAACTCCTGTCGGCGTCATCTCTTTACTTAAATTTGAGGTTTCGTTGTCGTCTTCTTTCATTCGGCTGTAAGCTTACGTATTGCAACCCGCATTTGATTGAGATCAGAACCTCGGGATCCCGTGATTCATACCATTGGATCTATTCAAAGCGAGTGAGCCCCTGTTTTTAATGAGGTGCGTAGTTCGTGACGACTATCTTAGAATTCTCAAAATATTAAAGTACACCACCATCACAGACAAACCAAAATACAATATTCAATTGAAATTGGGAATGACATATTGAAATGAATAATAATGATCCATAATTTATGTTTTATATATATATATATATATATATATATATATATATATATATATATATATATATATATATATATATATATATATATATATATATATATATATATATATATATATATATATATATATATATATATATATATATATATATATATATATATATATATATATATATATATATATATATATATATATATATATATATATATATATATGTGAGAGAGAGAATAAATAAAGGAAATATATAACTCGTGGATATATACCTCATATTTTTTCCTTTAATTTTCTCCTCCTTCAAGGATTAAAAAGGCAATACAACATTATGATAACCAACATAGAACACACATTGAAATTCATTTTGTATCGTTATTCATAAAATTAAATCACAAAGGAGATTGAATTATGGGAGATGAAGCAATCCAAGAACATCAAAGGTCATTAGCAGCTCCTTTCATATTTCTGATTGTTGCTACTTTTCAATTGGCATACTATTTCCTAGATAATTTGAATAAGGTATCATTCTCCTTTCATCATTTCAATTATTGGAAAAAGAATCAATGTTAACCATTGTAATAATAAATTTTGTGTAGATCTTGATTTCATATATCACATATAAGAATATCCCTCTTTCTTGAAAAATTAAACCAATGAATTGAAACTGGAAATTTATTATTATTTTCAATTGAGAAAATTCCAACATCACCCTATGATCTTTTTATGAAATCTGTCATTAACTTCATATTATTGTAATAGTAAAAAAAAATGACAATCATATAATTTATTTACAGAATGGATCTGATAGTAGTAAAAAAGAAAACATGTTACGTGAAGAAATAAAACAACTTCTGAAGGAGGCAAGTTTATTGTCACAGTAAGTAATTTCCACCTTGTGATTTTTTCACTTGTTGAAAAACAATTGGTTAAAGCTTCATTTGTGCCTTTATTTACTCATCTATAAATACTAAGTGACATCATTAACAAAAGCAATAGAAAAGTTAGATTATGAGGCCTTTGAAAATTTTAAATACTAAAATTGATTTCTTAACTATCATTTTAGACCATCAACATTTGCACAAGCAGCAAAACTCAAAAGGCTAGCAACTGCCAAGGAGAAGGAGCTTGCAAAACGTGAGTTTATTTTCTACTTTCAAAAAATATTCTTACTATCATTACTCTGCAAACTCATCATCACAATTTTAAATAATTGCAGTTCAAAATTTAAATCGCAAAGATCTAGTTTTGTACTTGAAAATAGTTCTCATTGGAAAGGTACAATCTTCATATATATAATATTTTTTAATTTTATATATTTTCTTTATGGATGCTCATGAAATATTTTTGGTTATGTGATGCAGTATTTAACATATGGAGTGTTGCTTATTTGGTTTTGGCGTATTCCTGTTGCTATCATATCTCAACAACTTGTACAACCATTTGGTAAATCACTCAAAATATATAACAAATTAATCATATATTTAATCATGTACAAAAAAAAATGAAATATTTAGCTTGTTCATTTCATTCTCATCATATATTATATTCATTTGCAGCAAAGTTGTTATCTTGGAAAAGTGGAGCAGTTCAAGAAAATGACACAATGGTAATTAATTTTTATAGTTTTTAGTTTGCTTCAAATATATGATTTTCTACATTCAAAACATGTTTTTATATAATTGCAGGTTGGGATAATAGCTTGGTTAATAGTGTCAGCTAGGGTTTGCAGATATGTCCGTCGAGCTTGTAGCAAATTGTCATGATTTTCATCGTATTAGAAAAAAATTGTATTGCTTTGAGTAAAAAATAATGGCAAACTCCTTTGAATATTGATTTTAATATAAATTTGAATGTCATAGATGTTACTAGTAGCTTATAACACCAACATTTATAAGATGTGTGTTCTTGTAATTTTATCTTTTTAATATAATTGATAAAGTAGTGGATGTGATTTGTAGGTGTTTTAATGTAATATTTAAGTATCGATCATGCTTTAAATCTGTTAAATTAGATTAAGATCAGCGCGATTTGCGGATTTTTAACTATTTTATATATTAAATTGAAAAAATTTAATCGTAAAAAATAAAATTCTAATCAAACATTATTGGATTGTGACCTTCATGCAAGCATTTTCAAATGTATTTTTATAAAATTTAATCTCTTTAAATTTAATTCTTTTCAGCATTCTTTGTTGACATAGAATATGAGAAACTGTCGAAAATATGTCACTGCTATAAGGCGGGGAGAAATGGTGATGGTAATTAGGAAAAAACTTCAAATAAGAACAAATTCAAGGAGGCAAGAAATCCCGGTAAGGATCAAAATGTGCATATTCAAGATGAGGGATAATTGGTGAAGATCCAAACAACACATAGAGGGCAGAGGTTGTGGCCAACCCTATTCTCACTTTGGTGGTGAATCTGGAAGTTACTCATACAGAGGTTAATAATCATAGTAGCAGTGATATTATAGCAGTTGGAAGTAAGAACTTTGTGGAAGACGTCAATAGCTCAGAAGATTCTGAATTTGTTGATGCCACACAAATCATTCCTCTTGAAGATTATACTGTTGTTTCAAAGAAGGCTGCATTTCTCAAGAGCTGATAGGCTAATATGGCTAATGAGTCTGATAATAAGCTGGGTCCAAAAAGACTTCCTCATGAAGTGCTTTTTTTGGAATGTGCGGGGTCTCGTCAATTCCCCACTGGAATTGGTGTTAAAGAATTTTTCGAAATTACATGAACCGGATCTCTGTCTGCTTGCTGAACCGTGGTTGAGTCATCTTCACTTCGCCAAAATATTTTGGGACATGCTAGATCTTAAGTTGTTTACTTTTAACGATAGGAACAATTTTTAGCCAAATTTATGGTGCATTTGTAAGTGTCGCTCCGCAAAAAATACAATGTCACCGCTGAATTTTATTTATTTCGAAGAAGGAAAAAATATTGATAAAACCCCTAAAAGGTGAAGAAAATATCTCGTAACCAAATTCAGGTTTGAAAATATCATTGATTCTTCTTAAAGGTTGTTGCTCAGTAGGCAACTGACTTGCCAACCAAAACTCTCTTAGATTAGAATCTCAATGAGTGTAGTATCGAGTATCAACCAACTTCAGTCTTCACCAAAGTCGGTTATCTCACTACTTTCTAAAGGCCAAGATGGATCAATTAGGGTTCTAAAAATTAGTTAGTATTAATGACAACGTATGTCAACCTCATATTATCCTCAACTGACTTAAGGAACATAAGTACCCACCAAGAAGTCACACTAACTGCAGCCACCAGATCAACCATATCGGTATACGCCGTACAGTTTCCTTGGTCTATTGCTACTTACCTAAGGTACACTAGATCCGGGTTAGGATCTTTCACACAAAAGCCCAACAAGCACTACAAGAAAAATCGGAATTAGCTAGGGGTTAAACCCCTCACTAAGTCAAAAAACCCATCACAAAACCAAGATTTGCGAGGGGACAGAGCCCCTAGCTAATCAGGGCATCGCAAATCATTGGTGAGGGGTTAAGCACCTCGCAAAAATGGTGAGGGGATAAGCCCCTCGCAAAATGTAATTAAAAAAAATCTTACTTCTGCACCACAGACGTAGCCACAGACTAGAGCTAGAGAGGGGTTCAGACCTGTCACAATATATTGCGAGGGGTTAAGCCCCTAGCTAAGTCACGTGATTCCTTAAATTAGTGAGGGGCGAATCCCCTAGCCAGCTGTGTAATGCATTTGCGAGGGGTTAAGCCCCTAGCCAGGTGTCCCCCATTTTTGGATTTGCGAGGGGTTAGCCCCTGGCCAGTAGTTATATTATTTTTTTTTTAATTTAATAATTATATTGAAATAATTATATTAGAATAATAATATATATAATACATTTTTATTACATTTATAATTATATTATTATACTTAGAATAATATAATTATATAATAAAAAATATATATTAGAATAATAATATATTATATAATAAATTTTTATTACATTTTATAATTATATTATTATAATTAAAATAATATAATTATATAATAAATAAAAATATATTTTAATATAATTATATAATAAATAAAAATATATATTTTGTAAAATAATAATTTAGAACTAAAAGTATAATAAAAGTAAATATTCAAATCTATCATTAAAATAAAAATAATTCATGACAATTAAAATAAAATATAAAAATATATATAATTCATAACACATTTATATAATATATTTTCAAATTTAAATAAATAAATATTCTGTTTTTAAAAATAATATATAATATATTTTAATATTCTGTTTTAAATATGTTTATAAATAAATAAATATTCTATTTTAAATAAATATTATGTTTTAAATAAACAATATATAATATAAATCTGTTTTATATTCTGTTTAATATTTAATATAATATAAATAAATAATATTCTGTTCTAATATAATATAATATAAATATTCTGTTTTAAATATTATGTTTTATATAATATAAATAATATATTTTGTTTAATTATATATTCTATTTAATATTTAATAAATAAACATTCTGTTTTATATAAATAAATCATAAATAATATATAATATTTTGCTTTAAATAAATATACAATTTTAAATACTAAATATTCTGTTTTAAATAAATAAATATTCTATTTTAAATAAATAATATATAATACAAATCTGTTTTATAATAATTTGTTTATAATATATTTATAATATATGTTTTAAATCTGTTTATAATATAAATCTTAATATGTTTTATATTATAACAGATAAATATGTTTTATAATATATATATAATATTAATATTTTAATTAAAATTTATTTTATAATCTAAATATTAAAATCTGTTATGTAAAACTATACATAAATATGCTATGTAAAAATTTATTTTATCAACAGCCACCACACACATAATTTTTGAAATAAATATTCATCTAAAATTTTAAAAAATAACAAAAGTGTGTACCTTTTGATCTTCTTCCTTGTTGCTGGTTCCTCTTTACAAAAATTTGATAACTTCTTTTATTCACCGTACATACAACAAACAAATAAATAAACAAAATTAATTAATAAATCTAAATAATAAAATAAACTATAAATGCGAAAATAATATACATAAATAAAATAACTTACTTTTATAAATGTTGGAAGATGAAGGAGGAAGAAGAAGAGAAGAAAACCTTAGAATGAAATGGGAAAGAAGAAGAATGAAATGGGAAAGAAGAATTAATGTGGGAGGAGAAATGGAGAAGACAGAGAAATGAATTGTGGGCTGCGAAATAAATTTAGCATTTAATGTTTTATTTTGCGAGGGGATACTCCACGCAATGCTCAACGGTCACATGACGTGGCAGCATTTGCGAGGGGCTACTCCACGCAGCCTACTAGCATGCAATTTGCGAGGGGCATCCCCTAGCCACGTTTTGCGTGTGGCAGACCATTTTGCAGAGTAATGCAGAGGAATAATTGCTTTTTCAGTGGGATTTGACTAAAGTAGGGCATTTGGTGAGGGGCTGCCCCTCGCAAAATGGGAACGTAACGTGGTGAGGGGCTACCCCCTCGCAAATTGATCAGCCTTTCCACCAAAAAATGCGCTGAACCCTAGTAAAAGTGCATTTCAAAATTCAAATATTTTTCCCTCCTTCATTGCGAGGGGTATCCCCAAGTTAAATGTTTGTATTTTTTTTCTCCCCTATTTTACAGTTTGCGAGGGGTTTAACCCCAAGCAAATGATTTTACTTTAGTGAGAGGTTTTCCCCCTAGCCCATGCCCCTAGCTAATTCAATGATTTCTTGTAGTGAAGTAAGTAAAGCAAGTAAGACAAACAAATAAGTGATCTAATTTCTAAGAAAACCCCTCTTTTACCAAGTAGTCCCCTGCAGAGTTGTCAGTTCTGTGACACGGTGGGAGAACTGACTTGGTGTTTTTGTTTGAAAGTCGGTTATGCGAGGGGAAAGTATTAATATCTCTCACATTCGTTGTATTATCTAAAGGTTACTTGCTTAAAGAGAAAAAATAAACTTTAAATTAGTGTGTTGTTGATGGTTGCCTTTTGGCTTTGCAGCGTATATGCTTGGCAAACATGATGAGAATTGAGGTATGAATGAGTGCAAGGATGATGGTGACGAAGAGGAAATGTCTTTGGGGATCAAAACAAGCTTTAGAATTTTTCCTTTTTCTATTTTTATATTATTTTGGAAATGGGGTGAAATGATAATAAAAGATTATATTTTATATTTTTTCCTATTTTTGTATTTTATCTTAAATGCTCTATCATTAAAGAAGTTTAGAAATCATTCTTTTTATAAGAAATCATCTTGTTTGAAGCTTAAAAAGTGACAATGCCTTTATATTCTCCAAAAGTGCAAAGATTTAATTAGAACAAGTTTACTCTATTTGAAAATATGATACATGTCTCAAAGAGTAGTGAATGCAAATGACATGAAATTTTGTGCATGGACTGAAATTTTGTAATGGTTTACTTTGTAATAAAAACAAGTTTGACTGGATTATGTATTGATATAGATTCAAAAGCATATCTATTAGAGACGGAGTTAGAAAATTTAATTAGTGGGGACATATATATACATATAAATTTATAATTATTTTTATTTTTTTATTTTTAAATTGAGAAAATGAAATAAATGTTTGACATCATTTATTAATTAGAATATTGTATTTTATATTTAAAAATAGTAAATAAAAATATGTAAAATTTAGGTGCAAAATAGTGTACACGTATGCTTTAAAAAATAAATTAGATAAAAGAAAAATAAAAAATAATAACA